TATGTGGCTCTCTCATGGGTGTTGCTGTCGTTGTATAAGTAAGCTTGATTTGTGTGCTTGCCAATCTCATATCTTCTGGGTGCTTGTAGAATACAGCCTTTACTCCTTATCAAGACATTTTGCTACGGTTAGCCGGGGCCGGGACAACGAATTAGAATAACCTGTCGTGTCACTAAGTCATCGTTTAACGAATCAGGTTAACTCGTCATAGTTTCAAGCATAGCGATTAACGAGCATATCACCTTCCTAGTCAGTCAGTTAGTCAGTCAGATGCAAAATAGAACTTCGTCATAAGTACATCAGTTCATGTTGCCATACCACATCAGCACAGGGATGTCATTGTCAATTCAAATCTAATAGTAGTAGAGGTAGAAAAGGTATTAGAAGTAATCGGAGAGATTAGGATTAGAAGATATTATTCAAGAAGTATGATTCAGTGAGAAAAGTTTAGAAGGACAAAACTAGAGGTTCTGAAGAATCCAGATGATTAGGATTTGATAGAACACAAAGAATAAATGCACCTGCGCAGTTGCAAACGGTTTTGAGCAATGCCATTCAGGGTTTCCAACCATCGATTATTATCTTCTCGTGGACCCCAATCAGGTAGCCTACATCTACCAACATGACTCAGTACACTTGTCAGTTATTTCATGGATTTGTGCCATATTTTAGTCTGGCCGCCCCTAACTTTCTCCCAGCCTAAACCTACACCACAAAGCATTGCTCGTTGAGGCAGTTCGTGGTTGGGCGTTCTTCACACATGTCTAAACCACCTCAACTGATGAAGTTTCAATATTTCATCCATTGATCTGCCATTCTTACTTAACGCCCGTTTACTAATAACAGCGTTGCTCACTTGGGTGTCCCAAGATATACGAGCAATGCTTCGGAGATACCTATGATCGGAAACCAGTAATCTGCGAATATCTTCTACTCTGACTGGCCATGTTTCACAGCCACAAAGTAAGACGGAGCGAATTACTGAACAGTACACACGTCTTTTAGTCAGCGAACGGATATCTTGCCTGCGCCACAGGTAACGGAGGTTGGAAAAAGCTGATCGAGCCTTCTGTATCTGAGCTGAGATTTCGTCAGTCACCAGGACATCATCCCTAATTAGACTCCTCAGATAAATGAAGCGGTCTTTACGCTCGACTACTTCACTCCCTATCATTAGTTCAGGTGCCGATGCAACCCAATCTTGAAGCAACATCGCCTTCCTAAATAATATATATCTTCATTTTCAGTCTTGTCAAGAAGAAGGGCAGGAAGTTGATAGGACACACATTGCGGAAGGCGCTCAACTTTGTCATAAGACAAGTTCTGACCCGGAACCCTCAAGGAAAAAGGAAAAGAGGAAGGCCAAAGACATTATGCCGAATAAGGGAGACGAATGGGAATGATGAACAAAAGGTGAATACAGTGGAAAGAGATGCTCAGGACAATGTAGGTTGTAGAATATTGGTCAGTGGCCTATGCTCTATTTTTAGTAACAGGCGTAAGTAAGAAAAAGCAGCAATGATATGTTTTTTAGTTCTTGGTTCACCAACTAGCCGGCAGCACATGCACACATGCTGCTTTTTACACATCACAAAGTTTCACACGTTTAGCCATCGCGCGAGTCCCTTTGCCCAAACGGGTATGTACATGTCGACTATATTCTCATGCATCAAGTCGGACATCCAATCTGTGCACGTACGAGCAGTCACCTCCGCCCGATTGATATGTATTAACTCGATCCCTCCAACCAGTCTACCACTCACAATCCCCAATCGGCATTGGCGACAAGGCAGGCTAACCCAGCTAGTACTGGCACCTTGAGACAGGTTACCGAGCCACCTAGCAGTGTACTAACCAACCATCTGGCCCCCAGCTGCCTTGTACTGACACAATCGACCGTAGCCCTCAAGACACCACATAAAGTAAAGAATCGAGTTCGTCCCACAAGGTCGGCCGGAACGTACACCCTCCTATGGGGTAGATGTCATGAACTAAACCAAGCGCAACTACTCAGACAAGTAGGGTTAATCCCACTCCATAAGTGGGCAGACATCAATGGCGTCCAGGACCCTTTAGTACTGGATCACATAACCTAATTGGAGACCCTTGTTCTAGGGGCTTCGACGCCAGTTGACACAATACACCGAGATGTAGAGTGTTTGGGACAACCACACAGGGTTGGCGTCACTAGTCGAGGATCTTTACGGCTGCTTCGCCAAACAAATCGTCCGGGGCAGCCTTCAAGAAGGTTTGAAGACTAAATCCCTCTTTAACGTATTTGCTACAACATAACTGGTAGAGGCCCAGATTTGACACTTTTATGCCTAATCATATGGGATAGACGGACGGCACTTAGACCTAGAGGCTCTGGTCATAGTCCCGTCAACCCTTTTGATTTCCGAGTCTCACCAGGAGCCACTATGTGTCTCCCTACAGTCAATTTCTGTGTGTGTCAGATATTTAAACCCGTTTGTTATCAGGGCCTAAACGCCAGCTGACACGCTAAACGAAGGATTAGAATGTTCGGGGCCACCACATTGGGTCGGTCACCTGGTAAACCAGGAACCTTCAGGTGCTTCCTTGAACAAATCGCCCGAGGCCGCTACACCCCTCATAAGTGCATTTGCTACAAAAAAGTGCAGGTTCCACATAGTGTCACCTACCCGTCAATTCCTTTCGGTTTCAGTTTCAGTAACACCACCTTTCACTGGTCTGGGTGAATAGCAAAATGAATTTTCGCCCCTATTCTTACGGTGCTTGCCCTCATTATATTTCCTCATGTAGGCATCATAACAGATGGACGGAAGATAATCGTCTGCTCGCAAAGCTAGGCTATCGCACAATAGCATTGGCATTACATATTTTCTTATGTCCATTAAGTTCTTTCATGAATCCACGACAAATCCAGTGGGTCCCTTATTTATACTGAAGCTTTAATTTTGAGATCATATTTGGTCAATATGACGATTTTTCACCTGTGGAAATGTTTTTCTTTTATATTTCGCATGACTTTTGTGGAACTAGAACTTACGTCCCGAAATTCGGAAGGTCGGGCAAATCAGTTGAGCACTAAATCTAAAGAATGTTTCACAGTTGGTAAACTTAACCCATTTACCTGGTTGGCCTAAGTTGAAGTATTATTATATAGATGAAAAATGCGCCCACAGACTCCTGAACTTTTGTTTTGCTCAGAAAATTTACTAAATGGGTGTAAGCCAAGAGATAAGTCACTCTCCCAACTGTTAGGACAGAAGAGATGTCGAAGAAGCATTTCTGAAAGCGTTTTGCAACAACGACTCCCAAGATCTTCTAAATGGATTATTTTTGCCTACAATCAGCCTCCTCAAGAAGTAATACAAAGAACTTTACTCTACAAAAAGATTATATCAGATACATGTAGTTTCACTCCGCTTCCTACTTTAATGTCTCCACCGGCTAAACACAGCGAAAGAGGTACTCAACAAACAAATATTGTTGCAGCCTTGCATAAGAACAAGGTACACTGCAATTATTTACTAGAAAAGTATGGTATAAAGTAGCTCATAAATTATTTTGTGTGAAATTTACAGCTCAGCGTTTATCCTAGTCCAAGATCTTCACGCTATTCGCCTCGTGATTTTCTGTCTAAATTCTCTGAATCCGAAGCTTGCGTGATTACTCATTTTTATGTATTATTATCCCGCAAAAAAGTAAGCGAATTTTGTACGTTTGCGGGGTTTTCGGCGCAATATAACTATATATAGCTATAATGTCACTTTTATTTACTCACTTCTTGCTGTTCATTGTTTTTTCGCTAGAAAACGTGTCCTAATTGACTGAAAGGCTTTTTATAGTCGTAAGTACATCATACTTTTCCCTTATTAATGCCCACAATAACATCTGGAGGGTCCAGATCTGGTATTAGCATAGGAAATTATGACCAATATAGTACAAAAATGACTATATATAAAGAACAAGCCTATTGATACCATGGAAAAATTGCGAAAATCGGAATACATATATCTACGGATGAATTGCTACTATTGTTCGGTAATAGCTGGAAGTCGCGCACCCACTCTATAACACAACAGAGAGTAAACATACAGTATAACATCATGTTATTACAAGGAGCCAACCAAACAAGTCTCGTTATTGCCATGTACATATGAAAGGTCTTCCACCGTACTACACTGAGAGTTCGAGTAACTGTTACATACACATAGCTCAACAGGAATATAACCAAACAGAAACTTTTCCTTCAAGATTCAGGTACGAAACAGACATTTACAGTCGTGAGCTACACGCTGCAGCTTTGAGTTCACTAGGAAATAAACTTAAAACCAACGTCCTGATCACACGTGACATCGAAATAGAATGATAAAGTCACATTTTGACCTATGTAACATACTGGAAATGTATGCAAAGGAGACTAATGATTATCCACTCTTGCCAAACAGATCCTGCATAAGCTGCCAACTAACACAGTGATTCCAGGTTAATTGTGCATCTGCTGTAACCATCTCACCTTAGCTGGTTATACGATAACATCTGCGAACAAATGATTAGAAACAAGCATTTTCCCATTAAACTTGCTGCCAGAAAGTAATCTGTATAAGACAGGAGAAATTCATTATATTTCATCTGACTCACAAGAAATTCAATAATACAATTGTATGAGTTGGTTGGACACTGTATACCTCTATATCCTTTCTGAAAAAAATTTTTCAATGGTTTTATTACATTTGTTATCACTGAGATCATGACAAGTGCCAGTTTTCTCAGTTCAAGAAGTTTTACATTTTAATAGTGGTTCGAAATTTGTTTGAATTGTCATTGTCAGCTGCCCTTGCGCCTTATTCAAATGCTGATTTTTTCGCTTTGTTTTGGATCCATATATTTATCGTTCACAAAGCGTCTAAAACGAAATCGGATATAATACTGAGTTAAGAAATAATCGTGCAATAATATTATAACACCAAAACTTTGCGAAATACTGTCGCATTCAGCCCGCTTAACTAAGAATGAGTTTGACTTCCAGAATTGCCGGTGGCGCTAACTCGGGTGTTAATCACAATGTTGCGAATCCAGTGCCAAAATTATCGGGAAATCTTCCTCCAACTCAAGATCCAGCTCCAGTTGTCAATCATTCGAGCTCAACACGATGCTCCAGTGGCGCCTTGATGAGTTTATTAAACAGTGGATTATCAGTTCCCCGTCAAATGATGGTCCAAGCCCGCGGTGCGCAAGATAATCAGCATATCCCCATACATTTGAGCTTCGTGGGAACCATTGGACAAGGAACATTTGGACAGATTGAGAAAGCTACTCTCACTGTTCCGGCAACCTCTGCCTCAAGTACACCGGGTAAAAAAAATACCGACGCCAATATTCCTGATGGGGGACAAACTTTACAGGTTGCTGTAAAGCGTGTCTTACAGGATCCTCGCTACAAAAACCGTGAGTTAAGTATTATGCAACGACTCAACAACCATCCTAATGTTGTGAAGTTTTACTACTACTATTACTCGACAGCTTCGTCAAATAGTCGGGGTCATAGGAGTGGTGGTGGGCGTACAGGCTCATCTACTTCCGGTGTAGATGTATTCTTGCATCTTGTACTGGAATGCTTCCCTGAAAGCTTATGTGAACTGATATACCGCTATTCTCAAAGGAACCAGAAAATACCTGCTTGTACAGTGAAGGTTTTGACGTATCAGATGCTGAAGTCCCTTGCTTATTTACATAGTCATCAAATATGTCATCGTGATATTAAGTCATCTAATTTGCTAGTTAATGAAGATACTATGGTTTTAAAAGTGTGCGACTTTGGGAGTGCTAAAGAAATGGTTCCTGGGACTGCTAATGTATCATATATATCCTCTCGGTAAGTTACTAAATATTCTAGCGATGATCCATAGTTTGTTACTGACTGGTTTCTGTTACTAGTTTTAAGTTAACATATTCATAAGGATAAGCCCACTAAATGATATTCCATGTTCTATGTAATGGCTCGGTGACGTTTTCCTTAATTAGTATACATTGATATCAGTAGTCCAGTCTCTTTATGTACAGTGTAGACAGATTTATCAGTATTGAACTGTCATCAATTAGTGATATTCAATGAAGAACCATAGCCATTCAGCCCCACTTAATCCTGTTTCACTTTTGTCTAAATCTTGAATGTCACATTCTTACTTGCCACTTAATACATGAAAACCATCACACAAACTAATAGTCTTCGCTTCTTATTATCGAAAATTTCTTCAATCCATATGACAGAATTAATAGGATCTCTTCTCACAGATAAGTCTCAAAATTCCATGTGCATATTTGATAAAAAAATACGGTAAATCTCAGTGGGACAAAATCTAACGCGACTGTTGTTTTACTGGAGTATATTTCGTTAAAAACAGCTCATTTGTTTATTTCTCGCAAGTAGTTTCCATCTTGTCCCTCCAAAACGCTGTTATTTCGTTGTATGGAGTACCTTTCGTGTCCCATTTCACTAAAAGATTTTTAATTAGGACTCTTATTGTACTGGTCGTATGTGTGCATTTACAGACATTCTAAGGTCGTAATATCAGATTAAAAAGGTAGAGCCAAACGGTTTTGAGCCATATTATTCAGGGTCTCTAACCATCGATTACTAACATCTCGCGGACCCCAATCAGGTAGTCGACACCTACCGACATGGCTTAGTCCACCTGTCAGTGGCTTCATGAATTTGTGCCATGTTTTGGTTTGGCCTCCCCTAGCTTTCGTCCAACCTGTTCCTATGCCTCAAAATATAGCTCGACGAGGCAGTCGGTGGTTAGGCATACGTAACACATGTCCCAAGCTCATCAACTGATGAAGTTTCAATGCTTCATCGATTGATCTGCCATTCTTACTTAGCACCCGTTTCCTAATGACAGCATTGCTTACTTGGTTGTCCCAGGATACATGAGCAATGCTTCGCAGACACCTACGATCGAAAAGAAGCAACCTATGAATATCTTCTACTCTGACTGGCCATGTTTCACAGCCATAAAGTGGGACGGAGCGAACTACTGCATACACTCGTTCTTTGGTTAGTAAATGGATATCTCGCCTACGTCATAAATGGCTCAGGTTAGCAAAAGCTGATCGAGCCTTCTATATCCGTAGTTAGGGTGCCAATGCAAGCCAATCCTGAATCAACATTTGGCGTTTCGAGAGGGGAGACCGCATCCTTAACACACTTGCATTGTTGCTTAGTGTAATCAGAAGACTGCGTTTTGTCAGCGTCTTCACCAAATAGAACTATGTCATCGGCATATTCTAAGTCAACAAGCTATTTTCCTGGTAGAAGGTCCACTCCTGAAAATTCAGATGAAGATAAGGTTGTATCTAGGAGCATGTCTATGACAAGAATGGAGAAATTGGACATCCCTAACGGACACCAATCGAAGTAAAGAATTCCGATTACAGTTTGCCGTAAGCTCTCACTCGACCAATGATGTTCGAGTAGAGTTTGTATAAGGTCACGATTTACTCTTGTGTGCTGTTTTATAAATCATGAGTAGTAACTAGAGTTTAGTCTTGCTTTCTATTCAACAACCTAAATTATAGTGAGAAAGTCCACGTAATGACTGAGTTTTATTGGGGAATGGAAACAAACTGGATAGAAAATGTAGCAGATAAAGGCGCACCTAGGTCCACCTAAGCTCATTAAGAAAACCGGTATTTTGGTGTCACTGTATATTAAAACTCGAAAAAAGTGGAATGGTGATCCGTTACCTCTCCGCAATATTGTAACAGCAGCCGAAACATGAAATATTAGCTTAACTGCTCTACAGCTACTCTTTAGTTGATAACGAATTTTTTAACTGTATTATACTTGAATATTTTGGAACCTTGATCTTCTCCAGTGCCGCTAATACTCCTACTACTTCATCATTTGAGGTAGTTAAGACATGTGTTACGTATGCCCAACCACCGACTGCCTCGATGAGCCGTTTTGTGATGTAGAGATGGGCTGGAAGGCAGCCAATGATGGCCAAACCAAACATGGCACAAATCCATGAAGTCATTCACAACTGGACTGATCCATGTTAATAGGTGCAGAATAACTGGTTGGGGTTTGTGAGACAATGGTAACTGAGTGTTAAGAACCGTAAATGCCATAGCTCAAAATCTGTGGCAATGGCGTACGTGCATCCATTCTTTTTGTCGTCTCAAATTCTAATGTAGTGTGTGAAATATTTGCCTCTGTAATTATTCAACGACTGAATTCAAACGAGAAACAGCAAACTTGGTGAATTCATAGCCTTATCTTAGATATGCAAACTTGATATCTACTCCCATAGATCGGGAGCCATACAAGTAGGTAAGCCATTTAAATGACTCATTACTCGTGTCCAAAATTTATTGTCGAAGTAAAGAAGTCAATCAAAGTCGTTATCTGTGCAAAACTATTGAGAGTACAACCAACCAATTTTCTATTAATCGCTAGTTTTTATATGCTGGTCAGACAGTTTTAATTAGTTTATAAATTCCCATTTCATTAAGTTGTATAACTACGTAAAAATTTATCTAAGGCTTAAGCGGTCAAACAAATATAGCTCATTGGTCACTTACAAGTTTGTGTAATTCAGTATACGAGAGGTATCATGATAAGGCTGCTTACCGGTTCGCAAAATCACCTTACTTGAAGAGGTCAGTTAATTATAGTCTTCATGGAATCTATCTCAAGTACGAGTGTATGTCCAAGTTTACCGTACCAACTCATCATGTCAAGATAAATTTGACAAAAAAACATAGCAAGAGTCCAAGTAATGGTAATATAAATGATAGTGAGGAAGATGAAACATTGAAAAATATGGTATATTTAGATAAAGCTCCAGGTTTTCCACTTGAAGGTTGCAATTCGGAAAATAGACTTACTCCATAATAAAATTTATGCCAGAACAGTTTCAGATAAATACTATGCTCCACTCAGTATATTGATTTCATTAATCCAATTCTTTATTTTTCAAAATCCAGTCTAGATGTTTTGTCACAGACGAAATTAACAATTATCTTAGCGCATTCAAGTTATATCGAGTCCATGTCATATGTGGACGGGATGATATTTTCTGACTGAAAAATCAAACAAAATTAAAATCCATTAGTCAAATAAAATAGCTACACGTGAACAGAGTTTTGTGAGTGCAAAGCCATAGCTATTTTTCTATGCAATTTGTCTTCTAACTAACAGTAAATCAACCAGTGTCTCAAAAAATACGACACCAAGTAATAAAGCTCAGAAACATTGTACCTTACTCGGAAGTGCTTGCCTCTTAGTTACTGCAATGAACGTTAAGGCTCAAGTAGAATATTTATTATTGTATTTCCATCTAGTGGAGTTATTAAGTTTAGACAAAATAAGAACTCTTAATTGTACCTTAGTCTAAGTTCATCTGGTATCTAATGTATTAAGTAAAGAACAATTCTAAAGCTTGGGTGTTCGTTACGTCAAACATGTTGAGGTTGTCGTAAAATGATTTTTATTACTTATAGATATTCAGCTGTTGAATCTGGTCTGAGGATAAATCGTCTGAATTAGCTAATACTTCTGTTAGAATAATGTTGTCCAGTTACTGTTCTGAAAACACATCATCAGTAGTTGATGTATTTAATACGCGTTATGAACTAATCAGTTTTGTTAATTAAAACTAACCTATAATTCTCTAATTGTATCCAAAAGTGTTTATCTTTATTCCGTGTTCAGTTGATGATAATGGTATTTCAAGATCAACAGATCGTCCAAGTTGATATGTAATAAGTAATTATGGAAAGTTTCAAGACACTTTTATGCTTGACCAAACCTTCTTGGACGTTAATATCATTTTATTATAATACGAGCTTATAGAAACAACATCTAGTTTAAATCATGACTATGAACCATCTTTGTTTAGCATATCATAACTCCCTTGATAACGTAGTCAGTCATTCAGTCAGCAACAACGTAGAACTTCGTGTGTACGTACATCAGTACAAGTTGCCATACCAGATTAGCACAGAGATGCGGTTGTCGATCCAAACCCCATAATGATAGAGGTAGTAGTAGTAGTAGTAGTAGTATGAGCAATAATCGGAAAGATTAGGGTTCGAAGACACTGTTCAAGGAGTATAATCCAGTGAAATAAATTTTCAAAGAAGAGGAAGTTAAAGGTGATGAGGAATTCAGAATATTAGAATTTGAAACGACAAAAAGAATGGATGCACGTACGTCATTGCCACAGATTTTGAGCTATGGCATTTACGGTTCTTAACACTCAGTTACCATTGTCTCACAAACCCCAACCAGTTATTCTGCACCTATTAACATGGATCATTCCAGTTGTGAATGACTTCATGGATTTGTGCCATGTTTGGTTTGGCCATCATTGGCTGCCTTCCAGCCCATCTCTACATCACAAAACGGCTCATCGAGGCAGTCGGTGGTTGGGCATACGTAACACATGTCTTAACTACCTCAAATGATGAAGTTAAGGCGATGTAGAGTTAAACATCAGGCACACACACACCTAAATCGTTATCGTTTCTTATTTTGGTGCTGTTTTATGCTTGTTTAAAAAATCTCTTAGGTTATCATTTGTACCATACCCTCAGATCTTTCATTTTCTTACATCAATGTCCCCTCAATTATGTGACATATCTATTTGTGCTTTTCGATTTGTGTTTTGATGTCTATCACTTTACAACTATAAAATCAGACTTGTTTACGCGAAATAACTTTCATGACATGTGTTGTTTAATGGATCACACTATCCAATTCGAGTATAAAATACGTTTTTTAGCATTGTATACACTCTTGGACTGAATCCGCTGATTCTATTACTAAGTCATAGTGAAAGAGACGAAAATATGGTATTCTTAGTTTGTCAAGAGTGCTTATTTCATTGATAATAATCACGTTAAATCTTAGTGCATCAAATATACTCTATAGTTTTATTTATGTTGAGAAATAAATTGATGTTCCTATTGCTAATAAAAGTCCTTAATTCAGAGATTACTAAAAATGTTCATTAAATTGAATAGTTTATGTTCGTTCTTCTCATTTGTTGCCCTTTTTATACATACATACAAGTGCACGTTAATATGTACTATCAGGACAGTACTTTTTTATTCAATCTGATAAGTATTTTTTGAATCACCCTACTAGAAATTGAAGTATATGCATATATATCTAGTGTTGTAAAATTGATGTGGCACCGATGTACTTTAAATAATAGGCCCCCTGTTGTCTTGATCATTCAAGTATTCTGTCGGCTACTTTCTGTTTTGTTTTTCATTCAGAGTTATGGAGATCAGTGTTTTTACACATTGTAATCATGAATCACTCATTGCTTCCAGGTTTCTAGTGTTGGTCTAACAATAATTGATTCATGATACTTTCTGTTTGTTATATTATTTCACATTCTCTGTTTAAGTCTAAAATACGCATCAGCACTAAAATCCTAAATGCTTCTAATTTTCTTAATATACAGTAAGTAATCAATTAACTTATATTGACGGTCATTACAATAAGTTCGGATGTTTGATCCAAACAATAAAACATACTGAGTGGTTGGAAATAGTCGACAGAATGTCATGTGACAGCCCTAAAACATCAAGTCACATGGATTAATGGGCATATGCAACCTGGTCAATAATACTAAATGTCTAGACAAATATGTTATTCGTCCTTGTTCATTAATCAGTTCTAAATGAAGTTATATCCATATCTGGGACATAAAAAAATTCAATTGTTGTAAACGTCAAACACTGTTATTAAAGAACTCGACTTATTAGCTGATTCTGCTTACGCGACCGGCTAGTATCATCGCTCCTCACACCTCAAGCGTGGTTCATATGCAAGTACCTGAGGAATTGGTTAATTTAAATTTTTATAAGTCGAGTAGTTTACAAAGCATTCACGAAGACATTTATGCTCAATACTTATTCGATAATGAGTTTTGGTGTGATGTCTTCGTAAAAAAATATAATCCCATTGACACCCAGACCACTTAACTATTTTTGATGCTGAAATTCAATAAAAAAGCGGAAGGGTGTTCAATTTACCGCGAGGTACTCTGACATAAGAGATACCTGCATAGAATCGACATCTGTGAATCCATCACAACTCCCCACTGTAGGTCCTAGAAGTTGTACAAGTCAGTAAATCAAGATGTTATTGGGTATGGATCAGAATATAGAATTCATTTATTATTCTACCATAGATTTCTGCTGCATTCTTGATGAAAATGTGGTGATGTTTAAACGAACGAAGCCTTCCTTGACTGTTTCTAGATGAGTTGTTTAAAGAGATTTTATTCTTATTCACGTATTTGTGGAATGTACGTTTGTTCCTTCTTTTCTTCACGCTATCGTACCAGAGTTTTTATGTAAATCTTGGTTGGAATGCTAAATGCTATTTCCAAGCCTGTGCTTTTTTACTAAGTACGCCTTTACTTTTATATCCCTTCTAATATTTATCTTATCTTTTAGATATTATCGTGCTCCCGAGTTATTATTTGGAGCTCAGTATTACTCTTGTGCGATCGATACTTGGAGTGGGGGATGTGTGCTGGCTGAAATGCTACGTCAGCATTGTTTGTTCATGGGAGCTGATTCAGTAGACCAATTGGTTAAGGTTATCCGTGTTTTAGGCACTCCCACTCCACAAGATATTGCCAGTATGAATCCAATGTACGGATCTTATAGTTTCCCAGATGTTCAATCTTGCCCTGTAAAATTGTTTTTCCCACAACATACTCCAGCTGACTTATTGGCTCTGATGAGTAAAATGCTTGTTTACAATCCATCATTAAGAATTTTACCATCTCAAGCTCTCTCTGAGCCATGTTTTGATGAGCTTCGTTCTGTCGGTCCACATGGAGTACTTTCGAACCGAGTTCGTATGCCTCCACATATATTTGATCCTGATCCTGAACCTAATCCTCCCACATCAACAACAGATGGAACAAATCCATCAGCATATAACAATTGGTTACCAGACCATCATAAGCATAGTTCATCTAACAAGAAATCAGGTACTAATGTGACTGATTTACAAGGATCAGATAAGAAAAACAGTAAACCATCATCAAATTCTCGAGAAATTCCTACTGATTGGCAGCGTAAAGGTATGTTATTAATTTAAATAGATAAATGTATATCCAACCTTTTAATAATCAATTAATGTTGAAATTCTTGCATTGCTTTTATAGGAATATATTGTGTCTTTTTAGGAATATACACTTCGCTGTGCTATATGAAAAATGTGGAAACTTGTGTTTAAAGGAGAAATATTCTTAATTCATTAAATACATAGACACCATAATGTAGCGAGACAGTACGTCAATCTTGTACAGATTCTATTCGAACTCTACTGGCCTCTAAGTGCCTTGGTATGTCTAAGAGTGAGGATTCCGTTCTCCCTCTCCAAATGCTCTCATATTTCCGCGTGTAAATAGCCACTACCAAGAAAGTCCTACTCACTGCCTTCACATGACTGCGCTGTTGTTAATGAAATTGAGTTGACGAAAGGCAAACATCTTGCGCGAGTACAGAAAATCTCCGTTGGAGAATTAGAAAGCCCTGTACATGAGCTCTAGGATCCTGAGAGAATAAATGGCATAAAAACGTGTTGTTCATCACTGGCTAACATGGGAACGCATCCCTCAATGTACGTTTACTATCTTGTGGATTAGACTCCTAGGTTGAAGGCTCGGAGTATGGTTTTGTACGAAAATGACATGTTTCGGTTTGGCTACGCGACCAGTATTCTGTTTGCATTCACAAATAATTGGTTGCTGTTGCGTATAAATATTTAGATCCCTCTTTATACCAATATTTATGTATTTAAAAATTAGAGCTTTGGTCGAACTGTCATTAAAATTGTCAACTTCAGATAATCCTCAGGGTTATCCACTTCCTCCGTCATTCTTCTAGAGATAAGGCTCTCATCGTCTGACTTCCGATGGATTAACCTAAAGATTCACTAATCGACTTAAAATACGCAATTAATGTAGTCTGGTCCTGTTTGGTGAAGACATTGACAATTGGCAGAGTCTTCTGACGGCCAATATATTTGACATGTGATCCCTTTAAAAATGCAAAGTAATGCCTCAAGATCGGTTTTTTTTGGATCGATGCTGGAACCAGTGATCGGGAGTATTATCGGTAAGTGCATTGACCGCTTCGCTTATCTTGGAACAACAATTCGGTGGGCAATGATGCTGTTAGCTAGATATAGGATAGTTGGGAGAGGTGGAGATTCTCTGGAGGATGTTGACACTTTTACATATCTGGGCAGCACCATCGACAATCAAGGTGTATCTGATGCAGATGTGAGGGCGCGGATCGGCAAAGCAAGGACTGCATTCCTACAGTTGAAAAATATCTGCAACTCCAAACAAATATCAATCAACACCAAAATCAGGATTTTCAATACAAATGTCAAGGCAGTTCAACTGTATGGGGCGGAAACTTGGAGAACTACGAAAGTCATCATCCAGAAGATACAAGTGTTTATTAACAGTTATCTGTGCAAAATATTTCAAATCCGTTGGCCAGACGGGATCAGTAACAAACAACTGTGGGATTGAACAAACCAGATTCCAAAGGAGGGAGAAATCAGGAAGAAGCGCTGGCAATGGATAGGATACACATTTCGGAAAGCACCCAACTGAGTCACAAGACAAGCTTTCACTCGGAACCCTTAAGGTCAAAGGAAAAGAGGAAAACTAAAGAACACACTACGTAGAGACATGGGGACAGGCATGAGAAGAATGAACAACAATTGGACAAAACTGAAAAGGAAGGCCCACAACAGAGTTGGTTGGAGAAAACTGGTGGACTGCCTATGCTCCATTGGGGGTAACAGGCGTAAGTAAGTAAGTAAGTAAAGGACAGATGACAAATCTTTTGATGATGTAGTAAATATTACTCGACTGTGATGGTTCGTACATGTGTTATATTATGGCTAACCACCATCTACTTGAACAAGTGATACTTGATAGTATGGGAATAGGTTTGAAAAAAAGCTGGTTAAGACCGAACTACAATGTGAAATCAACATTTAGGACTTAGTGTCTGAAAGTTGAACACTTGAACAATGAGTATTTGTGTGTTAATAATAAGCAGACTCTTTAATTTTAGGTTTCGTTGTTCATTTATTATTATCATTCAGGTCGAGCTGTTGGTGGATCGAACAATTCATCAGACAAACCTGGATCAATTACTACTACGACAGGTGGCAATTGCAGTCATTCTAACTTGGAGTCGAAATCCAATGAATTAGCTAAGAACACTAATGGAGTAAATAATAATGATGTAACAAATAAACACCAACACCACCAACAGCAGCAGCAGCATCTTCGAACGAATAATAATAATCATAATAATAGTAACAGTAATAATAGTAATAATAATAATCATAAAGGTTCAGTCGATACAACGAAAGTTGGAACAGCGACAACAACAACAACAATCGACGTGAATAGTACAAATCCAATAGAAAATCCCAATTGCAATAATAATGAAAATAATAATAATAATAACAATAATAGCAATAGCATTGCTACAAATTTACACGCAAAATCATTTATACCTCCTCCTACTGCTACTGCTTCTGCTATCCCTACTGAACAACGGACAAATGCAAGTGAAGTACACTAGATCGATAGACAGATATATATTTATATATATATAGACATTTTGCACCGAATACAACAGCAAAAAATTGCACAGTGGATTATATCAAAGAATATATATATATATATATATATATATATATATATATATATATATATATATATATATAAACAGACAAATAACTAATTCGACAATGAGTAAAACTGTTTTGTTTTTTTTTAATTTATTATTATGCTTTACATTCTTCTGCACATGGATTCATTTCAACACTGGTCAGCATATCAGAATCATTTGTTGTTGATTAACTAAACTATATATATATATATATATATATATATATATATATATATGTATAACAGTTAGATGTGTATTCCTTGTGAATTAGTTGATGTTTTGAAGAGAAAGGCGAAAAGAAAGAACCAAACAATCACCTCTTTCTCCCTTAATCCAACCCATCTAATCACTTTGATTTCTCTATATATCTGTGTGTGTTTGTGTGTGTGTGTATGTCGTCTAGAAGAAGCCGAAAACAATGGAGACCACCAACCAGATTACATCACACGTTCTGTTATTATTATTGTTGTTGTTGGTTGTTTGACGGTGAACAAAGTCAACTGTGTTTCTCTTTTCTTTCACATATATTTTTTTGTTTATTCAATATAATTTTTGTAGGTGGTTAGGTGCGCGCATACACAACAACAAAACCGGAAGCGAATTGTGTTTGTGCATCGCTTCTTTTTTCCGGTTTTGTTATTGTTGTTTTTAAAATCTATTAGGTTTCCTCCTACTTCTCCTCCTCCTCCTCTTCTTTCATCATTTTGTTTTGATTAGTGTATCATCATTCAAACTTTACTTTCATACATAGGTAGGTACTACAATCTTTCTTCCCATGTGTGTGTGTGTGTCTGTGTTTAATTTTTTTATTTTGCACTTAGAATTACAATTAGTTATATATTGGCACAATTCTGCTTTATACTTCCCATGAAACTATTACACACAACTAACCTATTATTACTATTATTATTATTATTATCAATGTGTAAATATGTCATATATATATATATATATATATACATATATGTGTATGTATGTATTCATTCATTCAGTTTTCTCTTTTCTTTGTTCACAAGAACAAAAAAAACTAATTGTCCACCACATTGCTCTGATCCTTCTTCATTTTATTTCGTTTTGTAGTCAGCATCATTCAGTCAATCTACACCACAAACATGATAGTTCATGTATGTGTGCGTGTGCATGTGCATGTGTACGTGTATGTATTTTCTCTTGAGAAGCAAGTTCACTTACTCTCTCTCTCTCTCTATTCAGTTTCTCATCCTACCAAGTTGTCCTAATGCCATTCAGCTCCAGTTCTTTTTTCCATAAAAAAGCAACACTTCGTTTTGACATACATGTAATATTTTATAATTTCATAGATGAATGAATATAGGCCAATATGAAGTTGATTTTATTCGATATAAATGTTAGAAAAAATTTTCTGATCAATCCAGTCAGTTTTCAACAATCCTAAAATTTTGTGAATATTCAATCTATCTTTCTCTCTCTCTCTGTCTCTTTGTTCTCTTGCATATTACATTTTTGTATGTGTATGGTTGTTTGTGGTTCTCCCATTGATATGTGTACTTCTTTGCCTCTCATTTTCTTTTACAGACTCACACACACACTCACTTGTGCACTTTTTGTCGGTCACAATGTTTTATTCCATTCACTTAAAATTATCTTATTTTTTTTGCTCTCAATTGAGTCTTTTTTTGTACTGGAGTTTTAGTCATACTATAAGGATTGTGTAAGCAAGCATTCAACAAACACAAAACATCCTACTACCAATCGAATGTGTATTTTTTTTTCATTTTGTTTTGATAAGAACATCTTTACATATGTAACTATACTATGTGTAACGCAGTAAATTTGTTTGTCATTGGGATAATTTTTAAACTTTTGTTTCCCATCTTGTTGTTAGCATTTTCGTTTTCTTTGTCTTATCTCGTTTATTTCTTTATTTCTTTACTTGAGACTTCTCTGGTTATCAGAGTTGACTCACGCATGTACACAGTAGTGTAGTGTGTCGGTAACCTTTTTTTTTGTTTCTCTGTCAAAGTTATGACAGTGTCAAACCTTTCATGGATGTCTGTTTGGATGGGTGGGTGGGTATACACGCCTGTGTTGTTAGAGACTTTTAGTAACTCCGATCAATCTAAGATTGGTAGGTCATTTTTTTGTTCAGAATAGGATCAATTTATCTGTAGGCTTTTTTCTATCCTTTCTCATGTATTTCTGTCTAACTTATTTAATGAAAGATGCGTAATTTCTCATCTTGTGTGTGTATGTTATTATTACTTCCCTGAACTGTTCTATATCGATCGATTAGGCGATTTCTAACGGTTGTATTTATTTGATCTAACCATTAACTATTACGTGTACATGTTAAATGTGCAAAATTATTTTTGTTTTGTTTCTCTTTTATTGTCCTTATGTGTCTGTCTAGTTCCTTCCTTCTTGTTAGTCTTTTTGAGGGCACGAACCACCGACCACACACATCATACATACGCATGTATGCTTACATCACTTTCTCCCCGTATATCTTGTCCTATATATATATATATGTGTCGAATTGATTTTAATGTTACATCAGTAGTATATCAAGTAAGTAGTTAATTTGTCCAAACGTGAACAATGTTCTCTATCATCTTCCATTGTGTGTGTGTTAATTCCTCAGGAGTCTTCTATTGTGTGTGTGTGTGTGTATGTCTTTCTCTTCTCCAGATCAATTGAATCTCTTGTGTTGCATTATTCACGCTAGTCTAATAATTTAATCCTTTATACAGGATGATATTATTAGTTTGTTAGAAATAAATTTCCCATCTGACTGAATCAATACAAATAATACTTATTGTTTTTTTTGTATGTGTGTGCATTCAACTAGAAAAGAGAGAGATAAAGAAGAGACTAAATTAAAGCTATCCGTTACTTCTTTTTGTTTTGTTCTGGTTTGTTTTTTTTTCTTTCCGGTTTTTTTCATTGTTTGATTAGGCTTTCCTTCTATTTTGGTTCTTCTTGTAGTGTGTATTATGTTCCGAAGTATGTAGTAAGCAGTAAATTAATGATTGCTTGACTAGCAGCGCACATACCACTGAACACATTATTACATCTTTTCTTTTTTTCATTGTAATATGATTAGTTCTCTCTTTTTTTTTCTTTCTTCATTCTTATTTTGTGTATGGGTGCGTGCGTGTGTATGTGTGTCGCTCAATTATTTCGATACATGGAATAATTTCAGCGTAATATACCTCTCTATCTATCTATCTATCATCATCTCTAACTGTCACTTTCTCAGTCTATATAATTGTCAAAAGAAAAAGTTTATTTTGACAAATTATTTGTTTATAATGAACAAACAATATATATATAAACTAGTAAAGACAGTCGTGTTATCTATGTATCATCATGTATGTTATTGGATGCAAGGAGTCAATGCGTCAGTCAGTTATTGTCTTCGAAACATCCTAACACTATGCGGTGTATAATTAATCACTTGTAATTTGGTGACGTTAAAAGATTTCTTGTGCGTTCGACCGTAGCTCTAGACATGGTCATCAGGCTTGCCTATCGTAGTGATTATATCAGATGGGACATAAGTTCCTTTAGGTCTTACCATGCCCAGCAGGTCGTTTAGGAAACAGTTAGACTAAAAGCAGCAACTTAAAGTCCGTTGGGTTCTGTAGTCACTCTCTTGAACCGATAGGACCAACACAAATCCATCTTCTTTTTCAGTTTCCCTTTTTTGGTGTGGATAATCGGGACGTGACATCCGCTCTCATACTCGTAACAGTCAACTACATCCTAATAACTCTCATCTCCACAACTAACCCTTCTCGCATACTTTTATCACCATGCACCGCTAATGCTAACAATTCGAGTTCTCGAAATATTATTCCTGCTCTCCTAAAACTCTGCTCTAAACTACAAGTTAGAGCTTTCAATGTACGGACCTTATGTCAAATAGGACGATAGGCTTCTGTTGTTGGGAATCTAGAATCTCGGGTCATCGATGTATTTTACGTCTCCTAAAGAAGCAACCTCCCTGGTATGGCTATAGTATTGAGTTCTAAAGCAGAACAAGCTGTCTTTAACTCGATTTCAGCAGACAGTCGTTTGTGTGCTATCCGACTCGGCGGGACAATATGGACTAGGAAAGTTAATGACACTCCCTGTTGTCGCTGCCCACGCTCTCACTGTCTGCAGCTCGGATGGGGTGAAAGCTGAATTTTACAGTTTTTGAACCTCCTTCAAAATATTAGGCACTCTGATACATTAATAGTGGCTGGTGACTTGCATGTAAGATAAACCATAATGTTACGGAGAAACTGTGCATCTCAGTAGCATCCACCGAACTGATGGATGCTCGGAAACTCATCCAATCTGGTCCTGAGTACTATGGGGGCGGAGTCATCTCAGGCACAGGCCGATAAGCAATCTACTCTATGATCGCGAACAGTGGTGGGCTGTGAAAGCGAAAGAGATCGGAAAGGCAGCAGCGATAGGCAACAGCAGATAACTGTTCAGGCTTACCAAGGGAACCAGGTTGAAAAGCTTACAGGAAATCTGGTCGAGTCACAGCTGCAGGCGTACAGTCGTGAAATTGATTACTTCAAGTGGTGGTCGTCAAGGCTGTCCACTCTTCATTGTTGTCTAACTTTCTCGTTTACGTGCTTTTAGAGGAGACACTGTCATCATCTGACTTTTCAGGAGTTGAACTTTTGCTGAGAGATTCGCGTGTTGACTTAGAATGTGCTGACGTCTATAGTTCTTGGTGAAGACGCTTACAAAGTGCAACGTCTTCTGACCGACCTAACCGACAATCCAAGCATGCTCGGGATGCGATTCTCCCCCTCAAATTGCAGAATGTAACTTCAGGATCGGGTTGCATCGGCTCCTGAACTAGTTATAAGGATTGAAGTAGTTCAGGTTGTTGACTGTTTCACTTATCTTGAGAGTCCTAGCAGTCATGGTCGCTTGGTGTCCGACGAAACCCCAGCACGTGTACAGAGGTGACAACCATGCACTACGAGAATTACGCGTTTATGTCCCTGTAAAGGCCAAACAATAATTATATGCAGTTAGTGTTTATACTATATAGTCGATAGAAGTTTCGCTTGGTTTAAAATGTTACTTCAGGACTGGTCCGAGTCTACACCTGATCGGGAGGGAGGTTATAGATTGCGTCGATGACTTCTCTTTTCTTGGAAGCCTCATTAATGTTGATGGCTATATGTCTAACGGAATCTCTACACGAATTCAGAAAACCAGCTTAGTATTTGTGTCAAATGATATAGGTCAGCTAATTATCTACCAACCCAAAGGTGCATATACGGTAAAACATTTCTCTGTGATCTTTATGTCTGTAAATATGTATTTAAACACTAAGGTGTCTTGAGGGAGAATTAGTTGCGTTTCGTGAAACAGTGGATTAATAGTTGTTATAAGTCAGATTATAAATCTGTGAATATTATTCGGCTGAAATGGCTAGTACATTAGTTACATATTGCTAACCACCACCTGCCTGAACAAGTGATGCCTCATAGTTTCGGCGCAGATTTTAAGGAAGCTAGTCACGATCGAATGAGAATGTGAAATCAGTGCATGAAGTTATTGATCATTGGTGTGAGATATAGACTACCTGGATTCGATCCACCAGATAACCACAGTCATCATTTGGAAACCTTGAATGAGATATCTGTAAATCATTGTCAGTGTCACGAACTTATTCACTGTTTATCTTCTATTGGATCTTGAATTCAAGTTTTCCTCTATATACACATTCTTTATTAATCTTTTCCAACCACACCGTCAATGTTCAATTCTTTTTATTGTCATTGCCACTACATTA